CGTGTCCCAATTCTTTTGCCTCATGCGTTAATTAATTTAGCCGCTTCAATTTCAATTCTGTTAACTGTAGACGTTATGGTTCCTCAAAAAACTACAGAAAATGACAATCCTCTACTCACTGGTTAAGAGATTCGAACTGATCAAAACTAATTTTTAATAGGGTTGGACCATAATATATGGACGACCTTTGAACGACGCCAAAATGACCTTGTGAGTGTCTACCTTCTTACTAGGGCTAAATGCGGGTTATAAACCAGTTTGAACAGTAAGGATTATGATTCACAGTTGATGGTTAGAGTTAGGAATTAGATTTACGTTTTTTTCATCACGAACTCACATCAGCTAAAATGCCAAGACGATATCTAGCCTGATGGATGAGTGAATTACGCACCAAAATCCGAGACCTGTTATCTTAAGCCTGATTGGATCCTCCATATTCTCGCCTCTCAGTAGCAACTGTAGGGAGTAACTTCCTAAAGGTGTAATTCCAAACTATTCTCTAGACTGTCGAAAACAGAGTGTGGTAACCTACTTTATCAAGAGAACGTCATTGGTTTAATGGAAACAATCTCCATTATAACCAATTGTACCAGTGATTGTTTTACCGTACTTGTTTGTTTATCTGTACTAAAGACATTCTTCCTTCCTTCGATTGTAACCTTGCACGAATTCGGTTACGCTCAGTAATCACACTTGTACTCCTTTGGCACGATCTCGGTATTCTTTCGATAGCACGAGATCGCCAACTAATACATCTCGACTAAAGCCATCAACTGTTTTCTGATATTTGGCCTACGGAGGGGTATAGCCTGGTAACTGGCACGTAGTCTTCCTGTAGTGGTAATCATAGTCAACCGCGACTCGATGCCACACTACATGAGTCGTAGCTCAGCTTAACCAAAGTCAGTTCAAGTAAGCTATTCGGACTGTTAAACTTTATCTGTTTCTAAAACGTAAATCAACACTGTCACTATACAAAATAAACAATACAGTCTATTATTCAAGGAAAAGGAAAAACATAAACAACATACCGAACAGTAACGAGACTATAGGATGAATGAGTCAACAAAACGAATATTCACAGATTGAAATCATGAGTCTGTTGAAGCTAGACCACCATTGAAAACCTGGGAGCACTGGACGGCCGTTTCGTCCTAGTATGGGACTCCTCAGCAGTGCGCACCCACGATCCCGCACCACGCGGGGCTCGAACCCAGGACCTACTGGCTTCGCACGCGAATATTGACTTAAAATGAACATAAAACTGTGATTGGTGGATAAACAAGGCAGAGTCAAGGTCAAAGAAAGCTAATGCGTTGGTGGGAATTTCATGTTAGCATTGGTGAGTTCGTTTATCGATCACACATAACAGCAACTACGTTTAAATAACCATACATTCCCATAAAGCCAACTGTAGTGCAGCCTACACATACCAGATTAGATTAGTAGTCTTGGTATCCTATCAAGGCTTTTTCCTGTGCTTTTAATATTCACAACAGATTCCATACAAGGTAGATGCAGACTACTTCGGTGGGGTCTGCATTAACATCGTAACCAGTGGTTGGAGACTCTGGGTGGCATTACTCAGAATCGATCACAACGGCGTCGGTGTACATACTTTCTGTTTTCCTGTACTATGCCTTTATATGCAATCTTTCTTTCATATATTACCACCGAATTAACCACTTCTAGAACCGGTGTTCCTCTTAATGTGCTAATGCAGTATAGCAAATGAACCGATGCACATATATGCCTGGTCCTACGTTGTAGCTGACAGACTGACTGACGATACAAGGAGTATTCTAATACATTTGAAGTACAAAATAAAATGATATGTGACCTAATTAGCTTAACTGATGCAACTGTTTTCTTTTGTAAACAGATTAATACACCGGAATCTGTAAATTAGTAGTGGTCAGAGTAATATCTTCATTATGTTATAGGTCAAATATTGTTTACATTCTTATTTACAACGTTGCATTTGTAAAAATCATAAATTGAGAATATCTTCTTGAAATAACATTTCTCTCCCAGGTTTAGTCTGAAGTTTTTCAGAGGTCATGAAACCATTTTGTACTCATGTGGTGTACACTACTCATATCAACAGATATAAGTAGTATGTATCATCAATCGAAAGTGAAATGCCTGGCTACATAATGTTAATTAGATCGAATGAAAGAGAACGAGAACAGAGAATGATTGGTGTGGAAACGAAATAACAATGAATTCTGAGACGATTGATTGACATTTCGCAAATGAAGAATTTACTGTATGGTTCTGAGATCTTATTAAGATGTTCTGTAATTTTGTACTGTAGTACATTAAGTTGACACCGATTGTGTTCTCCTTCAATACACTAAGAGATTGTTCATTTATGTTAGACTGTTGATTCTGAATTCTAAAAGTGCAAAGTAGAGACTACAAACCTTGAAATATATTCGAATTAAAGTATGTGGAGAAACATATTGGTATATAATCAGTTCGTATATGAAAACCATTGCGTAAATATGAAGTAGGATTTTCGTCCAATTCCAATTAGTCAATAGTTGGATTAGTTAGTAGATTTATTTCGACAGATATAATAAATCTATAATTGTGACCAAACAAGTCGGGATATGAGATATATCTCGTTCCATCTACTTAAACAAAACCGGAAATGTATAAATCGACCACATAATGCACTGGAGTTCAGTAATACACCTATTCAGAGAATACTATGGGGGTAACTCCCTTTTTAAAAGTCAGGTATGATACACAAGAAGTGAGTAGTCACATATCACTGTCATACACACATGTATGAAACATGCTCAAGGTTAGACGTCGTTTGGTTGACGAGCGAATATGTATGCGTAAACGAACAAATGAATGATGAAGAGAATCATCTATTCATAGGTCAGGATTAACTGAGTAGGTCTACAACAATATCAATTACTACACGACCATATTTATAATGAGCCTGTCAGCATGTGCATTACAGATGGAATCGGATAATAATTATCTGTCCAAAATAGGTCATGCACACATATTTTCTTGTCGATATTGACTAAATTCAGTTGGCTCATAAAGAGTTAAACAAACATGACATTAGTCACCACTCATTGTTCAATCAGTTGAGATTACCTCAATCATACAGGAAACCAGTCAGTATCCGAATAACTCAGTCGTAACTTCCTTGGCTGTTCAACCGAATAATACGGATTCGAGTAGGTTAGGAAACATCAGATATGTGTTGCCGATTAGTGTCAAATAGCACAAAACCTAGGTATAGAATTTCATTCTGACTGCCTCCAACCACCCAATATTTCTATAAGCATACTGATTTTCTATTAACACATCAACCCACTATAAATTAATAATATATTTGTAATATCCCAATGAGTGGAAAAATTAGATTTTCTGACGTTTTGTGACTTGGTGTAAGCCATTTCTTCAGAGGGTGAATAACCAAATCCAAGTTTAAAATGCACAACATATCAACCCACTATATTTTTCTCCATACATAGCAGGTGAACAATTATTTTCCTCTAAAAACTAGCCCTATACTACGTTGATGAATACTACTTACACCGACTTATACCGACAGACAGAAGTAGTACACACCACCAGTCGTATGTGGAATGTCTATCAGTGGAAGATTGAACTGAATAGAACAGGGGAAAAACAGTGAAAATTCGTAACAATAATAAAATCCAAAGAATCATAATGAATGTTAAAGACAACGGAAAGATGTGCAAATAACGTGTTTTCAATGCACTCTGTAATTTCTCATCAAATATTAAATCGGTTTATCCGACCTAAGCTATTATATTCTGACGAGAATAATGAGTGGTAACTCTTGAGAACTATCTATGCACCAATATGATCCATATATTTTTATTGTGGAATTATTAAGTGGCTAAACGATCCATATTCATGTTCCTCTTATTAGAAGATTTATTTTGACTTATGGAATATTATTATACAATTTACCGTTATTGATTTCTGTCCAGTCTGTTAATTATAGTCTCCCACATTCACAGCCACTTTCGACTACATCTTCTACAAACGTTATTTTCTATTTTATAGTACGATGTGGTCTGTTTGATTTGTATATGAATCCAGTATGTTTGAAGTACATGATTCATATCACGGACGCTGAGATTGGTGTTCTGGACTCAACAGATAGGGCTAGGCAGGAAGCAGGACCTATAAAGACTATAGACTGCTTGCACGGGTCTTACGCATCATTGGTCCTGTCGATAACTCACTTTTCTCTAATTGGCGGTATCATTACGTCATATATAATAGTGCACAAGGCCACAAGTTGTAACAAAGTCTTCTTACAATCCATTTACACATCTCATCAATAATTCAATCACTCCTCAATATTTGATATTTATTGGGTTCAAGACAGATCTATTGTTTAACACGCTCTTCAATATGCGTTAACCAAATAGAATTACAATTTTACTGGTTGAGGGCATGAGTCAATTGAAGTTAGATCACCATGGAAATTCTGGAATAACTGTAGTTCAATTTCGTGGATTATTTGAAGTTACACATTAACACCATTGGATCCCGGCTGCATCAGTAGTCTAGATGTTAAGCCTACGTGAGCGAGACCGATTGGTCCAGGGTTCGAATCTCGCGGGGCGGGATCGTGGATGGGCACTGCTGAGGAGTCTTGCAAAAAGATGAAATGGCCGTCCAGTGCTTCCAGGTTGTCAATGGTAGTCTAGCTTCAATTGACCCATATCTCAACTATTAAAATTCCTATAATATCCACATACCACCCATTCTCATATACATGTGTTAACTGAATAGAATTACAATGGTACAACTTCAGTATATGATATTGTAAATAAAGAAAGGCTTAGAAAAATGGATGATCTTTATTTGTTAATCACTGAAAAGTGAACAAAACGAATGTTCGTAATATAATTCACTGTATTAAAACAAACGATTTATGTGGAAATCAATTAATTATCGAATATATATGAATGTGAATGGTGATTGTTTCACTACGATTGTAAAATTGGATTCATTACTTTGGCTGCCATTATCGGCATTGTTAATTGTTGATCATATATAAAGCATATAAATGGATGAGTTACATGAAAGTCTACTTCTGGTATAATGGCTGAAATAGGCACAAATATAGGTGAGGTTACAGTGGTTGCTTCAATTCCACTTTCATTTAATTTTAATACATTTGTTTGAATAAATTCATTCACATATACATTGTGATTAGGTGTGATACCTGACGGGGAAAATAAACAAAAACATGATGTAATTGAAATAATGTGCTTGAATTTAGAGGTACACATCAAATCGAGAATGCAAGTACATCTTGTTGATGAATATTAAGAATTATTCCATTGTTAGAGATTGATTAAATTTCTATGATCATTTACCCACTGAATCTACCATTTCAAACACCCAATTCAATATCCAAGACGTCAAAAATTAACGAATGATTACATATTGAATTAAGGTTCCACTTCTACTGAATTATTCTTTTCCAAAACTGCGGAAATTTTAATCTATGAAACAGAATCGACTGGATTTTGTTTGGGAAATTACTTCCAATACTACTCTGATGGTTACTTATTTTCTCACATTATCTATGACTAAGTATAATTTAGACGATGTCGAAAGTTAAGTCTTACATATTCATCAACTGTTCTGTTAATTATTATTACACAGCTCACCTTAGTCTGTTCTATTTCCTTATAAACATTTTGAGAACCGAACAACTTATAATTGATAATCAAGCACTGAATTATAAACAGTTTGGGTCCATCTAACTGTTCTTCACGTTTCAACTCCACACAAAGGAAATGTTGTTATGTATGTCTTGAGAATTCTGACTTTAGTCTTGGCTGTATATGTGTGTATTATAATTGTGGTGTATGTGCATTTATGCTCGATCATGGATTACAGCCTACACGTATGTTCTGTTCACTAGCATAAATGTTACTTACTTAAATTGTTCCACGATTTATTCGTTTTCCCATAAAATGTGTTTCTGAAACCCATTCATTGATTGGCGTTCAAATTCTCATTCGTATTCGCTCAGAGTGCTAGAGATTCATACTTTACATCAATAAACTGTAGTAACCGCGTCGTATTTCCTTTTGAAATTTATGCATCTCTTCGAGTTATCTAATGACGGTTATAATGGCAGATGATACACGAAGCGTAGCAGTCATCTTGAAGAAACTCCACTACTCATTGACTTCGAACGTTTGAATAAAACCACATAAAATATCTGGGCACAGAAAACATACTAGTAATCTGAGGTGCTAATATCCACTCGAATTCATAATAGAATAATCAGAATTGATAAAAAGAACAATGTATAATATTTTATGTGAATTTACCAACTTAGATATTCTTACCTGACAGATCAGATTTTACTGGATCAAACAAATCGACAACACCGATAGACTTTAATGTTGGCACAAGGTCAAGTGTATTTTTCAATGTAAATTTCGGTAATCGTAATGACACTGTAGTTTCTTTCAAATTCTTCACGTATTCACTTAAAACTTTATTGCCATTCAAAAGTTCTGTGGCACCATTTAACGACCACTTTTCAAGAGGTAACACGATAACAAATGTGAAACGTGTGTTCTGGAGATGTTTGAAGAAAGAAAGAACGAAATGAAATAAATAAGAGTAAGCCTGATATTCTAATTTCTAAAGAAGTAAGCACTTGCAAATGATGAGACCATATGGATTTTCGAACGACTGATTACTTTGAACAGGTAACGACATTACGCAAATAGTAAAAGAAAGAAGGCTACAGAGGAAAATGATTCACCATTTGTGAAATAACTAAAAATCTTTCTTCTACATAAATTGTTGATATCATCAACATTCACAATAAAAACTTATATATTAGTACATCACAGAACTCAACAATACTTAAATTTTTATCCATTTTTATTTTCACAGATAGTATTGAAGTGTTCGTTTGAGAAGACAGTGTGTCAAAAGAAGTCTGATCAATTCAGTACCCGAATATTAACAATTAAATATTGTAATTCTTCACAATTAATTATATATTGTTCTACACAAGCATCTGATGTACATCATGATGAAGTACTAGTAAGAAAAACTATTATTTAATAATATGGACTCGGTTCATATCAAATAAATATCATGTAATTCGTATGATTATTCATGTGATCATCAAAGTTACTTGTATAAGAATTATATGATGACGGCTTACGAGAACTACGGCGGAACTTCCAAACGCTCTAGAACAGCCGAAAAGTTATATTCAATTAGGAAGCAGTGGCGATTTTCAAGTTTTCAACATGGAATGCTACTTTTCGTCAGTGGCACAACATGCCTCTTTGCGGATTGGTTGAATCATAATGTTGATTTAACAAACGCCAATATCTATAAATACCCGTAATTTTCGGTACATTCTAATACTTGCCCAACAAGCACTTTATCCAGTCTTCTTCTGTCTTCTCATTTACGACTTGGTAGGGTTCTAGCATTAAACTGCTCAAGCTTTACACAGTATATTAGAAAACTAAGCTCTAGATATAACAAATTATAAAATTCATTTGTATAATTGTTGGGGTGAAAATAACTGTTCAATGTAAACAGTTTATTAAAAATGAGTGCAATCTCAAATCGATAAGTCTAATCCAAAAACTCTACAAATAATCAAACATTTATGGTACCAAACTGTAGCACGGGTTAATGAACTGTTAATTTTCAAGTGAATGATGCTAGATAAGGCACTTTCTCCACAAAAATAAATCTTGATAATCTATACACTTTGGACTAAACGATTGTCCTGTATTTCCAGGTTTCCCATGGTCGTCTAGGTTCAATGGACTCATGAATTCAACCATCAAAATATAGAATAAAGAGACTGACAAACTCAAACATAACAGGAATTAGAAAAAAACACTTTTAATTACTAACATTTAATGGTTTACTGACGATCTCAAATCCTTCATCTTCGAATTTTCCATATTTCATTACTCCTTCTTGAGTCATCATATCAACTGTTATTTGACGATCTGGTGAAATATAAAAATCCTCCTTTCTAGTGTAATGAGGCTCAAATGGACTTTGCCAAAAATCTAAAATCAACGATAACTGTGTTATTTCGATGAATATGCAGTACAAAAATATTATCTTTTCATTTCACAGTATTTTATGAACTGTAAACATCCCGAAACAAATGACACTCTAATTTGTTTTGGGGTATAATGGAATCTAAAAATTGCTTTGCAATAAGGGTAAGGAGAAACATGTTAAAGCAGCATTAAAATGATCATAATACTTTCTGACTGTAGTTACTTACTTATTTGCTTACTCACTTACGCCTGTTACACCCCGCGGACTAGCATTCTGCAACTCAATCTGTACTGGGCCTTCCTTTCTACTTCTATCCAATGTTTTTTCATTTTCCTCATATCTGTCTCCATTTCTCGGAGTAATGTGTTTCATGGTCTTCCCCTTTTCCTTCGGCCTTGAGAATTTCAAGTGAGGAATTACCTTGCGACGCAGTTGGGTGCCTTCCCGAATGTATTTCCTATCCACTCCTAGCACTTCCTCCTGATTTCTTCCTCCGCTAAGATCTGATTTGTTCTCTAACATAGTAGGTTAATGCTGATAGTGTCTGGCCAACGGATCCGACGTATTTTGCATAGACAACTGTTAATGAACACTTGTATCTCGTGAATGATTGCTTTGGTAGTTCTACAAGTTTCTACCCCGTACAGTAGAACTGTTTTGACATTGGTATTGAAAATCCTTACCTTGTTATTGGTTGATAGTTGTTTTGGTTTCCAGATGTTCTGCAATTGTAGATATGTTGCTCTTGCTTTGACGATCTGTACCTTCACATCCGCATCAGGTCCGCCGTGCTCGTCAATGATGCTACCCAGATATATGATGGTTTTTACATTTTCCAAATCTTCTCCGTCAGGTGTGATTTGATTGGTGCGTGCTGTGTTGTATTGGAGAATTTCGCTTTTCCTTTGTGTATGTTGAAACCTTCCGCTGCTGAGGCTGCTACTACACTGGTCGCCTTCTCCTGCATTTGTTGTTGTATGTGCGATAAAAGAGCCACATCATCTACGCAGTCTAGATCGTCAGCTGCATCGTAGCTGTCCACTATACCTCGTGCTTCCCTCCAGATGACATAATGATTGAGAATAATGGAGTTGGAAATGAGAGTTTAGAAAAGTTCACAATCTGCTTGATCAATTCATGGTATCAATCCAAAATAAGTAGCAGATTATCTTAATTTATAGTCGATTTATTTATTAGTTCAGGTGAAAAATTTATGAATCACCTGAGTGTTTGTGAAAATTTTTCCCTACTCATGGCTACTATCAGGGTATGGCGAAAATTATTCCAAAAGTAAGGACTGTGAAATCGTTGTAAACTATTTCGAGACTACACTGTAGTAGTGTAGTGACCGATAACACAAGTGGGGACAATCGAACGTATTTGAATACAAAATAAAACATTTTAGTAAAATTTGGAAACTATAAATTAAGTAATTCATCTGCAAAATGTCAATCAACCGTCTCAGAATTCATTGTTCTTTCGTTTCCACACTAATCACTCTGTTTTCGTTCTCTTTTCTTCGATCTTCTTAACCTTTTGCCGCAAACCAGTGTAGTATAGTGGTAACTATTGCAAAATCCATAACCATCTTATTATTAAATATGTGGTTGACATATCTATTCCTGTAACTTAATAGCTGAAATATATCCTCAGTTCGGTTGAGCTAAAAAGACCATATCAGTATGAATATAAATAGGTTTGAGCAAACTCTTGATGCCAAAATAAATGATTTATTCATTTCATTTATTCACCAAGCAATTGGGTATGAGCCACACTATAAACTTGAAGATTAATGATACTATCTGGTTATCGAAACCAAATTATGTGGAGCTGTGCTTGAGCCTGAGACGAAGTAGCTGAAATTAGAATATCTTGACCACCACTATTCTCAACATATTGTGCATGTTCTTATTACCTAAAAACACTTGACTACACATATGCAGCTGCAATAATTTCTAGTATTCAGAATCAGCTAATTCATAACATTCCCGTCACAATCAAATGTGACAATTCCCTCTTAACTTTTTACTAGTCAAATTCAGTGAATATCATGCAAATTACGGTTCCGGCTAAAAAACGGTACCTTTAGCTTTACATCACTGCTAAATATCGATTAACGAGAAGTACTGTTATGATTTAATTTTCATTAGATAGCCTTTACGTAAGTAAATCTGTAGTAACCATGGTGGTCCAGACGTACGATTACTGCTTGTTCACATCCATCAACATGGCTTATTCCTCCATGACCCAACTTCAAGTCATACTAGCATAAACCTTCACTCAACTTTTACAGTTCCGCCTATTTCACAAGTCTCAAACATCACAAATCTTAAACCACGAACATCCTACAAGCTCACTTTAATCGCCCTATAATCAAAATACAAAATACTTAACATGAACAATTCAGGCTATTATTGTGATTCTGATTATTAGAGTCATCACATTTTATGGAACAATTAGTCTTCAAGTCTGTTCTTCTATTAAACTCTAGACTTTAAACAGTCGGATCATAGCTTACCTACCTCTAAAGTAGAAAACATTTACCAGTATTATCACAGTATCATCTGGAATATCATTTGTAAAGAATTTCTCCAATAAACCATTAGACTGTTGATCAACCCAATCATTGATATCAACTGTAGCACTAGTTCGATTAGAAAAATCCACCTAGAGTAATGAACATTAAAAATTTGTAAGCGTTAATTAATTCTAATGAACAAATACTAACAGAATTAATGACTTCATTCCGATTATGATTACCGATAGAAAGCTTTGGAGATGTCGTGATCTTTAAGTTGGATCATTTATTTGTATATAGTTCGTCGTTGTGAATAACATCAGCAGCATATGCTCCAAAGATAAGTGAGTCATTACAATAGTAGTAAACTTTAAAACAAAATCAGTTCTATACATGAATAGATCTGTGACTAGATTACACTCAGAGGTAAAGTCGTGCGACATTAGAACCACTACTATTCCAATCCAGTTCTATGTAATTCTGTTTAGTAATTGAACGATATTGCTTACTGTTGCAAATGAAGTCCAGTATAAACGCGAGCACACGAATCTGCAGTTGGTTAGTACAACAAAAAGAGCCAAGTTTGTCTCGATTAAGTCATTTTAGTCTAATTCATTAAAAATGTCTAAATGCCCTTGATTTTCAAAACGGAATTATTAGATTGCGTTTCTCAAGTTTCGTTTTACTTACTTACGCTTGTTACCTCTCATGGAGGAACATAGGCCAACTACCAGCATTCTCAATCCAAATCTGTCATGGGCAATCGTTTCCAGTTCCTATTCAGCCGTTTCATGTCGGTTTTTGACTCCAGAAGCAGTGTGTTTTTCGCCCTTCCATTTTTCAGTTTCCATTCAGGATTCCAAGTTAGCACCTGCCTAGTGATGCAGTTTGGTGATTTCCTCAATACGTGTCCTATCCACACTTGCAGCGTCTTTTCCTTATTTCCTCCTCAGCTGGAAGCTGGTTCGTCCTCTCTTATAGTAGGCTGTTGCTGATGATATCCGGCCAAAGAATATTGAGTTTCCTGTGTAGACAATTGTTTATAAATACTTGTACCTTATTGATGATGGTTGTGGTAGTTCTTGAAGTTTCAAGTTACGTCTACTCAACCTCAAGCCTTATTTAGTTTACTATACAATAACTGATACTTGGTACTTATTAGATAAACCATTTTATGATTTCATTATGATTCTCTGAAATAAAATATTACACACAATACTTTTGCATGATGGAAATATTTTTAGTATCATAAGGCGATTTCGTGGGTTTTATAGTAATTTATTATAGTAATTACTAATGAAACTACTATAATATCCACAAAAACCCCTTTCTGATACTAATCAGCATATGCTCACTAGTGACTGGCTTCAAGAGGTATTTCCTGGAGTTCTAATGTAAAGCAGTGATCAGTGGAGTTCAAACGGGTCTATTGTAAGATAGTAACTCACTGATGATAATGGTTGGTGTGTCGCTCAATTTCGTGAATTAGTTGAAGTTAGACATTAACAACATTGGATCCCGGCCGGCTCAGTTGTGTAGAGGTTAAGCATTCGAGCGCGAGACCGATAAGTCGTGGGTTGGAATCTCGTGAATTGGGATCGTGGATGCGCACTGCTGAGGAAGCTCCATAATAGGAAGAGTTGGCCGTCGAGTACTTCCAGGTTTTCCATAGTGGTCTAGTTTCAATTGACCCATACTCTCAACTACAGAAAATATCTTTAGTAAACTTAGTAATTCATTGATAAACAATCAGAATTTTCCACAATTCATTGTGTTCATATTGATCTCATCAAATTAACTATGATATATGGTTTCAGCTAACCTACTTCTTCGGTTTTTCAGCTTCTACATAGTGTAATAAAATAACATGGAACTATCATATACATTTTAAAATATCAATTTTATTAATCCTAGTTATTAAGTAATTCACAAACTGATTTCAATCATGTTATCCAATTAACCTGTTTACAATATATCTTAATTAGAACTAATAAATTATATTATTTCACTTTTTCACAACTTACTTATTATTACTGTAAATGATAATCATGGGTTTAAGATTTTGTTTATATTTACACATGAAAATAAAATTATACCAATGAATACCAATTTACAGACACATGGTATAATGAATATACAGTTGAGAATGTGTACTAATTTAAATCACTAATCTATGTTACCTATTAGGATTATTAACAAAATAAACATTTGAAGGTGTTTATATTACTGAATCTAAACTTGTGTTTCAAAATATAAGTTATCAGTTTTATGCTTGACCGTAGCTGCTACCTTGACGCGGTGGTCGGGCTTGCCTATCGTGATGACCCAACCGAGCGATATTGGCTGGAACATATGTTCCTGTAGGTGCTACCATGCCAGGCAGGTCGATTGGAGAACGGTAAGACTAAAAGCAGCAACTCAAGGTCTGAGGGCGAAGTCGTACTGCTAACTATAGAGGGGTGTGACAGTAGTAAAGTGTTTCCCTCGGACAACCAGCATCTGCAGCGATGCTGCCTTCTCACAAGGAAGGAAAGGGTTAGAAAAGGTTAACCCTAAAAATGTCACACCTCACTTTACCTCACGGATTTCCGTCTCCGGCAGTGATTCCCTTTGAAGAACGGAGCTAACAGGTTAAAATACACTCACAAAATGACCGTGCGCAACCGGCCTCAAGCAGTTGTCCCTTGGGTTCTGCGGTCACGCTCCCAGGTCGTTAAGATCAACACTAATCCAACTTCTTTTTCAGGTTCCGCAAGAAATACCCTTCCACGGTGTGGGCAGCCGGGAAGTGATACCAGCCTACATACCTGTAACAGCACAAGAGACCAAGTTGGTCACATTCAAATTCTTCCTACACCTCCTAATACCTCTCTTATCTCCACGACTAACCCTTCCCACGTCCCTTTATCACCTTGCACCGCTTGGGCAAACGATTCGAGCACGCGGAACCTTATTCCTGGTCTCCTGAAACCACGCTCTAAACTTCATGTTGGAGCTTATAAAGTACGAACACTGTGCCAAATAGGACAACAGGCTTCCTTAACTGGGAATTTAGAATCTCGCACCATCGATGTGCGCTGCGCCTCCGAAACGCTCATTCAGGACCTGAGCAGAGTCATTCATTTGACCTCACCGTGCCAAAATAAAGAACCGAGTCGATTCACACTTCGTGTATCTGGAAGCCCTGATTCTGCTTCTCGTTGACTCGCTGGCGTAGGTATAGCATTGAGTCCTAGGGCAGAACTCGCTCTCTTAGAGTGGATCCCAGTAGACACTCGCTTGTGCTCTGTCCGACTAAACGAAACAGTGAGGACTCGGAAAGATAGGGACACCCGTCGTTGCCTCTTCGTTGTCTCTGCCTATTCTCCAACTGACTGCAGCTCAGACGATGCAAAAGATGAGTTGTACAGAAAGCTTTCCGACCTTCTCCGAAAAGCTAGGCACTCTGATGTAGTAATATGGGGCCGGTGACCTTAATGCTCAAGTAGGTAAACTAAGCGAAAGAGAAAGACACCTAGGTGGATCTTACAGTGTCGTGGCTCAAAGAACAGATAATGGCGACCGTTTGTTGTAGCTATGCACAGATAACCGCCTCTTTCTTGCAAATACTAACTTTATGCATAAGGAAAAACGTCTTTTAACATGGCGACCTTCTAATTCTTCCCAACGTTGAACCCAAATAAATCACATCGCTATCAGCCACCGATGGAGGGGCTCGATAGAAGACTGTTGCTCATTCTGGAGCACATGCTTAGACTCAGATCATGCTCTGATGAGAGCGCGTATTTGTCTGCGTCTTACTGGACGTAGGAAAGACGCTGTAAGTCAACCTTTTAGGGCCCTACTTAATGATAGTCAAGCTAAGAGTATGTTTCAGGAACAACCAGAAAAAGTTAAGCAGACATGTATGTGATGCCCGCTCCGAGGCAGCGTGGAATGATATCCGTAAAGCTGTGGAAACAACAGCGATATCTGCTAGTACGATAAACCGTAAGGTTAGGGAGCAACACTGGATCTCAGCAGCATCTACCGCACTGATAGATGCTCGAAAACTCATACCATCTGGCTCTAAACATAACGAAGATCGGAGTCAGCTTAGGCGCAAGCTGAAAAAAAGCCTAAGTAATGACCGTAAACAGTGGTGTGTAGCGAAAGCAGCAGGCCCTGACAGGTTTACTCCTGAGACTTTTAAGGATGGTGGTCCAGTATTAGCAGTGAGATTAACTGAGGTTTTAGGTAGAATTTGAAACTAAACGTAATCCTATCTGACTGGTCTCAATCACTGATTGTGCCAGTTTTTAAGAAAGGGCAAAAGTCCTCTTGTGACAATCACAGAGGAATCAGTTTGAATAATATAGTGTCTAAAGTATTAGATTCAATTATACTTCGACGCCTAACTAAAGCTCTTGAATAGCAGACTAGAGAATACCATGCTGGTTTTCGACATGAACGTGGTTTTATAGACCAGATTTTCACACTACGTGCAGTAGTTCGTTCCGTCCTACTTTATGGCAGTGAAACATGGACGGTAAGAGTAGAGGATATTCTTAGGTTACTAGTATTTAATCATAGGTATCTTCGAAACATTGCACGTATACCCTGGGACCACCGAGTAAATAACTTAGTTTTTAGGATACGGGTACTAGGTAAGGATTGAAAATAAATTGATGAAGTAGTGAAACTTCATCAATTGAGATGGCTGGGACACGTGTTACGTAAGCCCGACGACCGACTACCTCGACGTGCGATGTTTTACGGTGTAGGAGTAGTTGGACGAAAACTAGGGGCAGCCAGACGAAAGCGTGGCACAAGTCCATGACGTCACTGACAAGTGGACTGAGTCATGTTGGTAAGTGTAGACTACCTGGTTGGGGACCGCGAGATGATAGCAACCGATGGTTGGAGACCCTCAATGATATGGCTCAAAATCGTATGCAATGGAGCAGGTGCATCCACTCTTTGTGTTCTCCCAAATTCTAATCTCCTGAATCCTCCTTGTCTCTTTTTTTCTCTTTCAAAATTTATTTCACTGGATTATACTCCTTGAATAACATCTTCAAACCCTAATCTCTCCGATTACTGCTTATAGTCTTACTACCTCTACCACTACGGGACTTGAACCGACAATTGCATCTCTGTGCTAATGTGGCACGGCAACTCGAAATGATGTACTTAAGTACGAAGTTTTACGTTGTTACTGACTGACCATCAGTTTTGAGAAATATTGTATTCTGAAACAGTTAGTGATCTTAGATTGTCGGGGTTGGTTTCATGGTTCCCTACCTGATGTCATTTCATAATAATATCAAACAAAAATTAAGTAGTCCGAGTTATCTCATAGTAAGTTAAAATATATACAATTATAAACTAGTACGGAACTGAAACTTTGAGAACTACCACAATCATCACCAAAAAGGTATAAGTATTTATAAATAATTATCTACACAAGATACTTAGTGCCTATTGACCAGATACCATCAGCACCAACTTAATGTAGGAGAGAACAAAACAGCTTCCAACGGAGGAGGAAATTAGGGAAAAATGTTGCAAGCGGTTAGGACATATATTAGGGAAATTACCAAACTGCATCACGAGGCAATCACTAACTTGGTATCGTGAATGGAGACGGAAAAGTGGAAGACCGAAGACCACGCTGCTTCGGGTATTGGAAGCAGACCTGAATAGGAATTGGGGCGAGACTATAATTTATAGATAACATTTGAACGAATATTAAGTGACCCTGGAAAATATTAGCCAATCAGCAAGCAGTCAGTATGGATTAGAAATAAATTATGCAAAACCAAAGAATTAAAGTGGATACACATCTTTTACATGGTTCAAAAACTTGTCAAGGTTAGAAAGAGGTTCAGAGGTTCTAAAATCGTAATGCATGCAGCAGAGGAAATCATCCATATGGCTACAGAATAGTTGGTCACTGAAGCCATGATAAATACTCAAAAACACGTTCAGCCTCGACCACATAGCTTCAATATTGTTTGTATGCACTGCGGTTGTTGAGTACACAAAATGTCACTTGTGGATAACGAAACGATACACATAACCAAGTCTATATAGGAGTCTGTACACTCTCCAATCATCCGTATGTATTGTAGTATCTGGCTGCAACCAATGTTACTAGTGCTTTCATTATCCAGTTCGCAATAATTGTCATGACTTGCCTTAGTTAGGAATTATATATAGAGTTTTCATCACGAACTGACATCAGCTATAGTGCCAAGACTCTATTTAGCCAAATGGATGGAATTCTTTCCTGCCAAAATCCGAGATCTGTTATCTTATACTTGGTTGGTTCGTCCACAAATTATAGCCTAGCCGTCTAATTTGTTATCGGTGCTTGTATAAAATCCCCTGTGAACCGATCGTACGTTAGCATTAGGTACTGAAGTTGGTGCTGTGACCTTGAAATCCCTCGAACGCTTATGATTGGCTCGTCCATAAATTGGAAATGATTTCCCATGACGGAGTTGAATGGAGAATGCTGGTGGTTGGCCTATGCTCCTCCATGATGTAAGATAGGTGTTAGTAATTAAGTAAGTAACAAAACCACATTGGCTGAGGATAACATATTCATTAGTATATTATTAAAGACCATACTTGTATTTCGACAAAGAAATCATATTTCAACTCAATAATCTTTTGTTTATCACGATTTGACTAAAATACATCATACAACTAAGTAGCGCTGGTTAACAGCAACTATTTATGTGAGAAAAAAAGACGATGACAAATTTGTTAGGTCCCGATAAACAAAATGAATGGTAACTTTGGGATCCTTTTATGGACCAATACTAAACGTATATTTTTATCGTATAATTATTAAATAACTGAGCTATTCATATTCATATTCCTCTTATTATAAACCTTATTTTGACCTATGAACCATTATTATACGTTTTACCATTCTTGGATTATGCCCTGTCCATTAGTCACTGCCTCCCACGTTCACAGCCACTTTGGGCTAATTCTTGTACAAATGTTATTTTCTGTTTTATGCTACGTTGCGGTCTGTTTGAACGATATATAAACTCAGTATGTTCGAAATATAATGATTCATATTGCAGAGGCTGAGACTGGTGTTCTGGAATTAACTGACTGGGCTAGGCGGGAAACAGGACCAACCAGGACTCTAGGCTGCTCGTACGTGTTTTACGCGTCCTTGGTCCGATCGATAATTCGCTGCTTCTGATCGGCGGCTTTGGGCCATAACAAAAATTCAGTCAGTAGACATAGTCTTCTTCAAAGTTTCTTCAAGTCCATCCACGCGGTCAATCTAAACAGTTACATGATGTCAATGATTTTCTAAATTTTAATTTTCAGTTTTTAAAAATTGTCCCGTCATGTAAGTTCTTCAAGTGTTTAACAACCAAGTGGACTAAGTTTCTGACCGATTTAATTCACTACGTTTCAGATCGAACAATCATCTCATTCCAATCAACTTAATATCGATTTACGATAATCCACTACATATATTTAAATCCTTCGAAATATACCTAGAAGACACGTATGCCATTACATTCAAATAAATGATCAGTATTAAGTGATAAATCACATTTACTGTTAATACTACTTCCAGTAATTTTTATTTAGCCCCCTAATGCCCTGGTACGGCCGAGAGTAGGGACAATCTGTTCTCCCTTTGGAAATGATCTCACATGGCCTCGTGTATATAGTCACTATCAAAGAAGGCCTACTCCCCAACACTGGTCAGCATTGGGCGACGTGGTAATCGGTGTTCAGGCATATGCAACACGTGGTCCAACCATCTCAGTCGATGAAGATTCACAACCTCATTAACTGATTTACCATCATTCCCTAATATCCTGCGACACAGACATGAACACAATAAAATAGAAATGGTTCTTTTAACTGAATGGGAATAAGAAGTCGGTAGAAAATAAGCATAAAATGAAATCCAGATACAAGTGATGAATGAAACAACATCAATGCAACTCATCTTAAACTACATCAAGTACTGTTTGGGAAATTTCATTTATAATTCGGATACATCTACCACGTAGTCTGAGAATGTTCGACGCTTGAACCGGCTTGGTGGACACGGAGGATCCACCAAGGGGGAATGGCGAACCCTGATTCAAAACCAATGATGCACATAGGCTCCAGGATGCTGAAGATAAAAATGACGTATAAACCAATTGTTCATCACCGGCTATCATGAGACTGCATCTACTGATCTTTCCTTACTGCCTTGTGGATCAGACCATTAGGTCAAAGGCTTCGAATGTGGCCTCCCTAGGAAAACTACCTGTATAGGTTTGGAAGTTCGGGTAGTATTCCAGCTCTCACACAAATCGAATGAAGTGTGGTACATATATATTTGGTGCCTTCTTGAACCAATGTATATGTTTAAATGAAAAAATTAAATTCTTACTTAGGCTAACTAACAACTCGAAAGTTTACTGATTTCTACAATGTTTGATAAAATATCTAATTTATTCATGTTACCAGGTTACTTTCAAGAATGAACTTTAGTGGAAATACATATGGATTTCGAGAAATAATATATGAATTCATTTTATTCTTTAAGCCTTGATAGAATACCATTGATCATTGCACTTGATTTGATTGCTGATTGGAAAATTATTGGTTGAATAACTGGTTGGTAATATTCGTTTAGGTAATAATGTACATTTATATTTATAGTAAAATGTAGAACCCTCATTTACCCAATTACATTGTTTGTTTGTTTTTGTTTCAACTACGTAACAGCACCTATCTAAACTATCTAGACAGTTATTGTTTTAATCCAAACATTAGTATACATAACCCTGTTTAGTATATTGTGAGAAGAGCTCACAATGTGAATTTGAAAGTTAGTAAACGTCAGAGAGCACACGGGAGACATTTAATCTCAGTTTGAAACAGTGCGCATAAGTGATCTCAAATTTATTCGAACGTATTGCATGAATATGACACAATGATTATAATATTATTCAGCTGCTCAGCTGAAATTCAACAGCATTATTTTTCTCCACGTGAATCCATAAACGATTTAGAGGGCAAATCTTTTTAAGTCATACAGTTATGACCTGATAAAATCTTCGTTCCATTCATACGTTATGATCTATTACTGGAACTGTTCTAAATCCAACTTAAAGTAACTCAAAGTGAATGTATGGTTATTAATCATTCAGATGAGAAAAAACAGTCAGTCAACTCATCCATTATTTCTACTGGTTTTTCTGGTAATATATCCACTCTACACTTTCAAACTAAGTAAACCATCCAACTAAATAAGATGGACTTTTCCGAAGTATCACATCACGAATAATAAACTATTTTAAGAACATTCTATGAATGAAACGGTCGATTACTTATCGATTGATGTTTGCGAAAACGACTGATTCTTCATTACATTAAAATTTACACAAAATATAATAACTTGCCTGTTTCAATTCTCCTTCAAAATCATTTGCAATACTTTCGGTAAATCGTCTTTCAACTTCGTACGTTTTTTGTACAAATATACCTGTTGATATTCTAACAACATTTTCTTCTTTCTCATTTAAAAATGCTTTTTCTGAAGTGAGCGAATTATTAAGCTCTTGATATATTGATTTCATTTCTTGTAGAGCTTCCGAAGAATTCCATGAAGAAGATGCCGATTTTAGTCTCATTGTTTTTCCAATTTGATAACCTGTTCTACCTTGAGCACCACCAGAACCCAACAGGATACCGAGTGTGAAAAGTATACCAATTGGGCATGTCAGGAAGTTGTCCCCACCTAAGCCATTTGGATAAATAATGTTAAATAAATAAATAAATAAATAAGTAAACAGTAGACAATAGAAACACATTCTAGGGTACAAATGTCAAGGTTAAATTAGGCATTATGCTATAGGTTGAGTAATATGGCATCTAATCACTTCAACAGTAAGGTCTTCGTACGTTGAATTTGCTAATATTGACAGAACATATACCACCCTTCGTATTTTCAACTATATCACCGAATTTCACATCTCAGGTAGAATAATATCGATACTACATACTTCGTCATTCTGATCTACTTGATGTACAGTATTATTCAAGCAAGCTTCTGTTTCTTTCTCACTGTTACGAAAGAAGCAGAAAAAATGGCTTGACCACTGTATAGAGGTGATTCTGTTTAGGAAATCGTCGTATGGTATAACTTTGATGTAGGTTTGTTGGTCACACCATTTCATTGAACACGTGCAGAGTAAATATCTTCGCAAGTTAACTCTAGGAAAGAACTTTAATAAATATCTTATGACTGTTTTGATCTGTCATCTTTAATAAAAATTATCGGAAAGTCAAGAATATGTGGAAAGAATGCCATTTAGTTTTTCTGTATTAACAAGGAGTTTTTTCCACACACAAATAAATACAATTCAACTGCAATAATGAGTCACATCGAAAAGAATCCTCTCCTGTGTATTGTGTATTTTCTACATTTTGTCAATGATTTTATATGATATTAGCAAGATTCTAACCAACTACCTATCAGTCTCGATCGCGAACACTTAAATTCTAGAACACAGGGCATGTCAGGATCCAACAGTGTTAATATCTAACTTCAACTGATCCACGAAATCGAACGACACTTCCACAATTGTCTTCAATGAGTAGATATCTCACAACAGACCCAGTTGAACTCCACTGATCACTGTTTCTCACTAAAACTCCAGGAAATGGTTATTGATATAATGCTTTGATTAAACTCTTATTTATCAATGACGTTATTCATCAAGTTATAAATTAATCAACTAACGAGAGGTATATACGAATTCAATCGTAAATAATTAATAAAACTTACCAAAGTCTGCAGTAACTGTCGAAAGATACGCACGGGTAAATGCCTTATGGCTTGGAATATTAGCATATGGATCATCAACTTTTGTAGAAAACCTTATACACATGTCTTAAACTCCTACGGAACTCGATAAAATTAATAACTGATATCTGTGTATATTTATATGTAATTAGCTAATCACCATTTTTTAAAGAACGTCTTAGTTTAATCCTACAGATATGTGTCTTACTAGTCATCAGTAGTATGATTTAGATTGGTTAAATCGGATTAACTTGTTCAACACTATGCGTATAACACTAGAAACCAAACTACAGTTCGACCAATTAAGTCTAATAATATTATCGCAGTTTTATGAATCAATATTTGCATGAATAGACCATTAATATGCTTTCAACATATGACATATAGATGAATATTTATTAAATTAGATATTAAATTATAATCTGAAATTTCATCTGATCTAAACGTATGGAAAACGAGACTGATTTCCATCTTAAATTAGGACTAAACAACTAATCAACACTTCCTGGTTATTCATGTTAATGTCACTCTGTAACACTAACCAACTTCAATGTGTAATTTGTAATCATTTGGAATATCATGTTGCACAAACGAGTGGATATCTAGGCTCATTAGTAGCTAAGTGGAATGAATGGCACCAGTTTTGAATCTCAGAGGGAAAATCAATTCTGAGATGCAGGTATAACTAGATGACGGGTACCAGTTAGAAAGAAATGAGCAGTCGGGATTTCACTGATAGCCACACACACTCTCTCTTTATCGTATATCATTTTCATAAAAGTTTAGTTGTTAGATCACACGTCAAAATAAGTGTGATTTTTATGAGATGTGTATAGTTCCATTACAAATGATATTTATTGTTTAGGATAATTTAGGTTGTTTTTTAAAAGTTCTAGGCTTTGTAATATTAGTAAACAGAGAGTTTGTAACTTCATACATATCAGCTACTTGTTACGCTTATGATTTGAACAAAAGAGTAGTATTGTATGAAACTACTTATTTATTTGAACACAAAAATATTGTTAAAAAGGGGCACCGAATACACATACGCCACACAAGTCACATGATTTAGGTGTGGGCTGTGATACTGCTGAGTGCCCAGACCGAAGTATGTGGTTTTCTTAGGGGTTCAAACCTCTAACCTTCGACCTAAAATTCTAATTCAGAAGGCAGTGGTCCGAGGTAAGTAGATGCAATCTTATGGCAGTCGGTAACCAATAATATGTTCATACGCCCTTTGTCCCATCAGGATCCTAGAGCTCATGTCAAGCATTAGTTTATAGTCAGGGTATCCCAACTCCACCAGGTCGATCCTCCGTATCCACCAACCTGGGTAAGGTCCGGGACACTAGCTTCTCGATCTCTCAATTTCGCAAAAAACACTCTCACCACAACACGTTAGTGAGTAGGATTTCCCTGGCAGTGCCTATTTACTTGTGGCCATATGAGAGCATTTCGAGAGGGAGAGCAGACTCTCCCCACTTCCCGCTGTAACAGAGCATTTAGAGTATTTTCTCATACCAGCGAGTAGAAAAACAATTTGTTCAACCATCTCGCTGATGGGTTTGATGATAGGCCATTCAACGTTGTACATTCTATTTCACTTACGACATTTAATTATGATTTATTCTTCATTAATAAGTAAGTAGAGTTATTTATTATGAACTAGCTTGTCCAAACAACTTCAGAGAACATCAGAAATTTACCCATCATTTTCAATACTTCTAACTTAAAATCAACACAGCCTAACTCTTCCTCGTTGGACATCATCACTACTTGTATTTGACGATCTGAAGACACTTGAAAAGTTTCACTTTCTGTTAACGTTTCTATAAAACGCACCTCCCAAACATCTAATTCCATTGAAAGTATTTAAATTAAGAGAAATATAGCACTGTATCGATTTCGGTAAAATAAAATATGACTTCACTACATATCGGTGCTACTTAAAAATAAGAAAATTTTTCATAGTTTAGTTCGTGGACTTGATTTCATTGAAAAACTATTCAAAACCACGGTGCAATCAACAGATGTTTTGTCCCGCATTGCTACACCTCAGCGGCGTACATCCGATATGGTCATACAGTATTTAGAAGTATTTGATGTTTGACACTTGCACTATAAGATTCCGAATTATTGATCTAGCGGTTACTCATTGGTGTCGCGATTGGACATCTTTGTTTTGATGTTGGGTGGGGTCGTGGTTGCCTTCTGCTGAGGAGTACACTACCATTAAGAAACAGCTGTCTAGTATACACTGCTTCTCAATGGTTTTCTAAATAAGATCAATCTGTGATCCTAATATTCAATACAAACCCCTTGTATTAATAATTTAATGAATTTGTCATTAACATATAATTTACATATAATGCGTTTCTACTCAATTTACTGGATATAGGCACAAATACAGGGAAATTCAGTTAAGTATTCTTCTACGTAATGCCTATAGTGGTTTCGCTTCGATAATCGATCACCTCGATAACCGTTATAATATAAATTTCAACGGTGTTTATAATTAGAAGGCAATGAGAAGCGGAAAATTTATAGTCAAATTGCATAAGGACGAAACGGATCGGAGGACTCAAGTCAGCCAACTCGACTGAACCAAACATCACTTAATATTTATGGTCTGAAGAAAATAACTGACAGACATTTAATGAATAGGGTAAGTAATTAACACACACACACACACTCACAAATCGAAACAGTCAGGGTTAATAAGTGAGTATGTGACAAGGTCAAAATATGCATTCAGAAAAATGAATAAATTGGTCTATCCAGAAGCTAGAATAGCCTATGTGGGCTTGACAAAGTACCACACACTGCATAATTTGGTAACAATGTATTCAGTTTGGTGTTATTATTATCATTTCACTTGTTATTAGCATCATCCATTTGAATCAAACTGAAACCATTGTAATATTAGATGAGTACTTTTCATGTTGTATAACACTGAACATGGACAGTAAGTTTTACCAACACAAGATGGGCAAGCATTTCGAAATCTGGTTACAGATTATTAGTGATATTACAGTCTCCTTTAATGACTTATGCAAACACCACACTACATTGTACATCATCTGGAACCAGATATGTAGGGCACTAAATATAAATTCAATGGTCCAAGGCCGTCACATTTATTGAGACACTTCAAGGATATTACTACTATTGTTATTTACGATCGACCGATCTTAAACTAGGATAAAATAGCTATCCAATCCTAACTTAAGCTACCGTTTATTTATTACAAACCTGTTACTCGGTCCACTCCCATTTATGTCGCAGCTGTGCTCCTATTACGATTTGAATGTATCACTTCATAGTGTACATATGTCATATCTGCAGATAACGAATCTAATATTGATCTACATAACCGCACTGCAGCTGATGCGAGACTTTCCCAGTCATCATTATCATGGTCGTTTTTGCCAAGAACTGTGTTACCAATCTACACTGACGTATTCTTTCTAGTCACAAACTTTTTTCCTGAATAAACAAATAGATAACATTTAACCAAACGCTTCAATCAGAATTTAACGGTACTAAGATCGTGTCCCAATTCTTTTGCCTCATGCGTTAATTAATTTAGCCGCTTCAATTTCAATTCTGTTAACTGTAGACGTTATGGTTCCTCAAAAAACTACAGAAAATGACAATCCTCTACTCACTGGTTAAGAGATTCGAACTGATCAAAACTAATTTTTAATAGGGTTGGACCATAATATATGGACGACCTTTGAACGACGCCAAAATGACCTTGTGAGTGTCTACCTTCTTACTAGGGCTAAATGCGGGTTATAAACCAGTTTGAACAGTAAGGATTATGATTCACAGTTGATGGTTAGAGTTAGGAATTAGATTTACGTTTTTTTTCATCACGAACTCACATCAGCTAAAATGCCAAGACGATATCTAGCCTGATGGATGAGTGAATTACGCACCAAAATCCGAGACCTGTTATCTTAAGCCTGATTGGATCCTCCATATTCTCGCCTCTCAGTAGCAACTGTAGGGAGTAACTTCCTAAAGGTGTAATTCCAAACTATTCTCTAGACTGTCGAAAACAGAGTGTGGTAACCTACTTTTATCAAGAGAACGTCATTGGTTTAATGGAACCAATCTCCATTATAACCAATTGTACCAGTGATTGTTTTACCGTACTTGTTTGTTTATCTGCACTAAAGACATTCTTCCTTCCTTCGATTGTGACCTTGCACGAATTCGGTTACGCTCAGTAATCACACTTGTACTCCTTTGGCACGATCTCGGTATTCTTTCGATAGCACGAGATCGCCAACTAATACATCTCGACTAAAGCCATCAACTGTTTTCTGATATTTGGCCTACGGAGGGGTATAGCCTGGTAACTGGCACGTAGTCTTCCTGTAGTGGTAATCATAGTCAACCGCGACTCGATGCCACACTACATGAGTCGTAGCTCAGCTTAACCAAAGTCAGTTCAAGTAAGCTATTCGGACTGTTAAACTTTATCTGTTTCTAAAACGTAAATCAACACTGTCACTATACAAAATAAACAATACAGTCTATTATTCAAGGAAAAGGAAAAACATAAACAACATACCGAACAGTAACGAGACTATAGGATGAATGAGTCAACAAAACGAATATTCACAGATTGAAATCATGAGTCTGTTGAAGCTAGACCACCATTAAAAACCTGGAAGCACTGGACGGCCGTTTCGTCCTAGTATGGGACTCCTCAGCAGTGCGCACCCACGATCCCGCACCACGCGGGGCTCGAACCCAGGACCTACTGGCTTCGCACGCGAATATTGACTTAAAATGAACATAAAACTGTGATTGGTGGATAAACAAGGCAGAGTCAAGGTCAAAGAAAGCTAATGCGTTGGTGGGAATTTCATGTTAGCATTGGTGAGTTCGTTTATCGATCACACATAACAGCAACTACGTTTAAATAACCATACATTCCCATAAAGCCAACTGTAGTGCAGCCTACACATACCAGATTAGATTAGTAGTCTTGGTATCCTATCAAGGCTTTTTCCTGTGCTTTTAATATTCACAACAGATTCCATACAAGGTAGATGCAGACTACTTCGGTGG